CCTAGCTATGACGCGATCATTCCTTTTGAGGAGGGGAAAAGCAGCCCCTCACCGAACTCTTGCGATTCTATATACAAACCATGCTAGCTGGCTATCCGGTTGTTCTAAAATGTGAGTGCGCTGAAGACAAAGAAAACTTTCTGCTCTCGGCCCTATTGAAGCTTTGCCTTCATGGCCTTGGAGACAGTAATGTTATCGTCGAATGCGGTCAAGATCGATAAAACAGTACTTTGGGGTGGAAGTGGATTGCTGCATACTATAATGATACATCCGCGACCTGTGATCCCCCAAATTATGGCTAGGAAAAGGAAGAGATAGCTGGGATCAGTGCAAGGAAACCAACTGAGGGGTGCATCACTTCGACCAGTAACTCCTAGATAATGAAAAAAATTACTTTCAATCAGGAAAATTAAAGCGAAATGCCGCAAAATACCTTGAAATAATGTGAAACCACGTAAAACGTGGGTACATGCGTTTCAAAGTGCATTGTTCCTATGAGTTTCTGTTACTGCATATTTTATCATTTCATTTTCTTCTACTTTGAACATTACATTGTAATCTTAAACGTGTCGAAAATAAAAACGACAAACTCACCTCAATTGAGCCATAAAGTGCGCTGAAAAAGTGTTCAAGTGCTCACCAAAACCGCGATAGAGTCTACATTTGCTAAATTTCAACTTCGAAACTACAAGTGCAATACTGTGAAAATAAGTTGTAGGTTTTACGGAACCAATTCCCATGAAAGGTGATGTAAAATTACAATTCAAAATTGTAAAATTACCAAAACTATGTATCGACAGTTCTTCGGCGAGCAAGTTTGGGGTGTCACAAATTTACAACATATTTTGCCAAAATTAATTAAAAAATACCATTGTAAATTTACAGTCTAAATGGGGAGGGACAATTTTTGTACCTTGGTTAGATACTGTGCACATCTCCATCAGATAAAAATTTGTAGGTAGGATGGTACACGTTGTACCTAGGCTAGGATTAAATGAATTGTTATTTATGTAACCTAGATGCAAGAATTGTATTTGATTGAGATGTGCACAGAGACACATCTATTAAAATTGTCCATGGCCATTTATTGTGCACAGGGATTTTTCTCACAGTGAAAGCTGATGCGTTAGCCCAGCCACTATACAAAGTGGAAGCTTGCATGGAAGAGAGGGCAGTCTGAATCGAGGCGAACAAATACCTGCGACTAAGCGTGCGTCGCCGTAGCCGTACTCCATTTTGGTCACAGATCTGGGCGTGTGGTGGGGGTCAGGTCCACGCCAGAGACATCTTTGACCGCAGCTTCTCAGCTTTCCGCTCGCTTCTAGCTGTCTAGGCTAGATGACACTTAAAACTATTTGAAATATCAGTCGTCTTCTTCTAGGTCTGTCAGTGTCAATGCATCATTTGATAAAGCCAGATTTCCGAGCCAAACTTTTATATTAGGCTTACAAAACGATACGCTAGTTCGGGGTCAGGGAGTCAATCATGACTGACTTTGAACTCTGCAGAGTTTGATTTAGGC